CTGGAGGGCCGGTGTCCTGCAGAGTTTAGCTCCAACTTGCCTCAACACACCTGACTGGAAGTTTCTATGCCTAGTAAGAGCTTGATTAGCTGGTTCAGGTGTGTTTAATTAGGGTTGGAGCTAAACTCTGCAGGACACCGGCCCTCCAGGACCGAGTTTGGACAGCCCTGAATTAAGATATTTTTGATGGAATCTGAGAGCTGCATAGACAGCAACACAACTGAAATGTTCCCAAGTCCAGAAATGTTGCAAGGAGATCGGTAAAATAATCCATGTGACATCAGGGGTTCAACCGTAATTTTACGAAGCTACGAGAATACTTTGTGTGCAAAAGGAAAAAAAAAACAGTGTATGCTGTTCTGTGTCAGCTGCGTCACACGGATACACTGTTTTCGTTCAGATCAAATCACAACAACGTAGGAAACCGTTCTGACACAGAACAGCATATGCTGTTTATGTCCAGCTGATATTTTCCAAAATGGCACCAGGGTGATGCGGAGGAGACGAATGGTGCTTTCAAGTCATGTCGGATAGATCGTATTTACGAGTTGAATGCACATGAACGCCACCACAAAGTCGTTATTACGAATGGGAGACTCGAAATTTTCTTTAAGCCCCGGGTTTCCGAGTTGGGGGCGTGTCAGTGAGAAAACGTGTCGGATGCAATACGCATCAAAGACTAGATATGCAGCATCTGTATTGATGGTAAATTTGTTGAAATTAATAAAATGATTAATTTTTTGTAATGTAAAATAAAACTGTGTGTTACATATACAAAATATTATATCATTGTATAATTACCAAAGAACATAATGATTCAGTTTACATCACCTTCATAAATCGAATAAAACAGAAAAAAGCAAAAACACAATGATGCACATTCTTTATTCATCATTTTGTAGATGTAAAGCTTTAAAAAAATCGTTGAATTTTATGGAAAAAAGTTCAATCGCCATATTGTTCCGACCAAAGTGACTTGAACGCACCTGACGTTGTTATTATGACTTGTCAACTCGTAAGTACGAACGTCCCAGGAGGACTTGAACGCAGCAGAATTGTTGAATAAAGTCGATTTTTTTTCTTTTGTGCACAAAAAGTATTCTCGTAGCTTCGTAGAATTACAGTTCCCTCTCTTACAGATCTCCTTGCTATGTTTCTGGACTTGGGAACATTTCAGTTGCGTTGCTGTCTATGCAGGGTCAGACAGCTCTCAGATTACATCAAAAATATATTAATTTGTGTTCCGAAGATAAACGAAGGTCTTACGGGTTTGAAACGACACGAGGGTGAGTAATTAATGACAGAATTTTCATTTTTGGGTGAACTATCCCTTTAATCTCTTATTTACATCATGTCTACACTTTCTTTGTTTTAATAAGAGAATTCGCGAACATGTAGAACTTCACAGAACATTAGCATTTTGGGTGGAGAGTGGATTGTGTTCGTGAAGTCAACAGATGTGTCTGTGATTGGCTGTATTGCTCAACGCTGCTGCAAACACGCCGTGAATAGAAACATATGACCAGTGGATGAATAGTCCCGAACCGTAAATAGACAGGATTTTTGTGATGGTGTTTTTGCTGCGGGTCTAACAGTTAGCAGGCAGCACATCAGTCTATCCGTATGTCGACATGTTACTTAAAAAAATAAAATAAAAATAGACACGTACACTGAGGTAGGCCTGCTATATATTTTAATGTCTGACGGGAAAACGACTATGCCGTTCTTCAAAGCGCTTAACAGGATTCAGTGTGTGTTTTAGTTTTGTCATCTTAATTTGTTAATTTTTTATTTGATATAGCTATAGGCCTATTTATTTTATTCTTTAATTTATATTATTTTATTCTGTTTCTCTGTTCTCAGAAGCGCTGCTGGTGCGTGATAATTTGAGGATGTGTGAATCCAGGTTTTGTTGTTGCTCTGTATGCACATTAAAATATAATATTTGTTTGTATTTTTAATGCATCATCACAGATGCTTGTCCATTCTTTTTTTAATACAAATTTATTATTCTAATTTTATCAGTTAACGGTTAATGTTCGGATAACGAGCAGCAGTTGTTGGTCAGGAAAATTAACCGAAATGAGCATCCCTAATTTGTGTAGTACCATTTTTTTTCTCAAAAGTGTAATATCATGAAATGTAATATTACCATGATATAAAACTACAGCATCTGCAATGCATTTAACCTCTATGAGACATTATACTAACAAGTTATTTAACGTGTGCTGAGGATTTACAAAAATACCCCGTTTATTTTAAAAAAAGATGTAAATTTTGATTTAAAAACACATGCATTTAAATACCACAAAAGTGTATTAGATCTGTAATAAGTCACTAATATATGCATATGTGAGCCTGGAGCACAAAAATTGACCCTTATGACTGGGTTTGTGCTCCAGGGTCACATATGAATTCTCATGCTTCAGGTTTGTGAATGTGTGTTACCTGTGTAAAGGTGCGCGAGGCGTTGTTAATCTGAAGGATGTTCAGGACACGATCGGTTCACTTCAAACCACTCATCAATACAGCTAGAGGAAAAGCAGAATTACTGTAATAGAACAGACTCACGTCTGAGACACACACACACACTCACTCACGAGCAGCTTTACCCTTTGTGATAGATGCAGAGGCAGGGCAGGCGTGCGATGGTGTCTCCCTGCACCAGCTCCTCCAGACATATTGCACATTCTCCAGCGTCCTTCGCCAAGACGTCCTCTGAGAAAACACAATGAAAAACAACCCAAATCAGTCAGAGTCCAAGTCTGAAAAAAACTGGAGCGGTTGTGGGTAATTCATGAATCAGGATTTGCAAAGAACTTGCACGTTTTCAGTCATATGTGATTACTAGAAAAGGAAATTATTATTAGTTTTCTTTCAAAAAATCATTTTATAGTGATTATACTCATGAAGAGCCATTACCAGCTGATGAAAACATTTAGAGGTACTAATATGAATAAATGAATGAAAAATAAAATAAAAGTTGATCAAACGTTTGGAAACATTATGATTTTTAAGTCTCTTCTGCTCACCAAAGCTACATTTATTACAGTAAAAACAGTAATGTAAAATATTAAAATTTCAAAAATGTAATGTATTTCTGTAATGCGCAGCTGTATTTTCAGCATCATTAGTCCAGTCTTCAGTGTCACATGATCTTCAGAAATCAGTATAATATGCTGATTTGCCGCTCAAGAAACATTTCTGATTATCAATGTTGAAAACAGTTGTGCTGCCCGATATTTTTGTGGAAACCGTGATGCGTGGTGCATGGATGAAGCCCAACCTGTGGAAGCAAAAGTATCTTTTATAAATGAGCAGAAGGTGGCGCTGAAGATCTATTTTTCTCTGTGACTCGTTCCAGAAATGCAGGAGCTGCTGTTAACATGCAAGAACAACAGAGTTCAACTCATGCATTTCAGCATGCAACGAGACGTTCGATGAGAAAAAGACTGTTCAAGAAAAATGTAGTTTCATGTAGTGAATTAATTGGATGGAGAGAAGTGGCTGTGTATGAAGGTGGCAAAGGTAAGAGCTAATATCTTGAGTTCAGTAAGTCTGGTGTTTGTTGGCAGAGAGAGGTGAACAGACACCTGCGGCCCTTCACACAAATCATATGAGGATATACACAAACACTGACAGCCCTGCAGTGGGAGGAGCCTATCATTCACACTGCTGAATATTCATGAGATGAGTGACTGTGCTTTATAAGCTAGATCTGCATTAACTGAAGGAACAGTTACAGAGCTAAAGTTTGAGGCAAGTTTAGGTTGTGGTATATTTAAGTTGAAATTAAATTCCCAACCACCCACACAATACCCCAACAACCACATTACAACCATTCACAATAGGGCTGCACGATTTGGGGGAAAAAATCGAATTGCGATTTTTCTGTTTAAAATTGCGATTTAAATGCGATTTTTTAAAACAAATTAATAAAAAAAAATAACAGTATAATAATTAGATAAAAATTAATGATAAGATAACAATACTAATTTTATTTGACAGAAAACGATTGTTTTACAGAAAACTGCAAGGTTACTTGTTAACATACAGGCCTATATAACTATCATTTATCATACGAAACTGTTATGATAAAAATCTGACAGTAATTTCTTAATTTTTATCAGGAGGTATGTAAAATCAAAAATGGATTCCATGTCTTTAACATGAAATATGAGACTTTTATACATCCACTGTGGGGAAAGAAAAAAAAAACTCCTGCACACTTCTATACACTGGAGAAAACCGTGGATTATCATGTTTTTCTTTAGAGAGAAGTATTATTTTTCCTATGTATGGCCTATTTATAGAACTGAGTGCTAAACACATAAAATGTCCATTTCATTCATACTGGACTACAGAGGGCGCCCTCGCGCAGAAACTCCACAAATGCATCACAGAAGTAATAGAACGTTCCATGGAAAATCCCTAATATGGGCAAAGGTATCTAGCTATCGCTGTGACTGAATTAAAAACAGCTAGAAACGTATTTTCATAATAAAGCCAATTTATAAAGCAATGCTAATCGACATAGCCTTTATTGCAGTATAGAATATATTTATATTCTGTAATAAAAAGCCACATCAGATCAGAAAATGAAGTTGTTTTAAAACACTTGACTGATGTTTGGGAGTAAAATTATGTTATCCACCTTTTTCTTGCAGTAATAATGGGCCATTTGTAAATTCTATGGGTCTAGCTTCCGGTCTCATTCGCGTCCAGCTATTTTTAGCTGTACAAAACAGTTCGTTTTGCTGCTTGATATTGAAAATTGGTGTGTCTTACCATATTATTTTAACGTATTATCTTAATTATGAACACACTGGTTTGTAGTGCAAACAGTTTTACAGTTTACTGCACGTTGTTATTCTACTCATTATTTACCTATAGCGGCTAATGAACCAGACGTCTCGCCCATAGGCTTACTTCCGCGTTATAAGAAGAGTGTTGCTTAATCAGATGCACGCTATAAACTCACAGCGCTTGCAGAGATGAGCAGCCTTTACTACTGGCGCGGTGCATATATTTGTTTCATTAAAAATCGCAGCCTTTGCTATTCAATAGTCGCATCAAGCCAAATCGCAATTTCGGTTGGATTTCAATTAATCGTTCAGCAATTCACAACACCCTAACAACCACATAACACCCTGGCAACCAACCACAACACACTAACAACCACATTACAACCATTCACAACACACTAGCGACCACATAACACCCTGGCAACCAACCACACAACACCCCAACAACCATGGCAATCACCCACAACACCCTAACGACCACAAAAAACCCTGGCAATGATCCACAGCACTCTAACGACCACTTAACACCCTGGCAACCACACAAGACCCTGGCAACCAATAACAACACCTAGCAAGCATTCACAACACACTGACGACCTGGCAACCAACCACAGCACCTAATAACCACATAACACCACCCTGGCAACCCACCATAACGACCACACAACACCATGACGACCACACAACACTCTAAAATTCTAAAATCTGCCCCTATTATGGATTTTTGAAAATTACCTTTCATGCAGTGTAACACAGCTCTAAGTGAATGAAAACATCCTGCAAAGTTTTAAATCTGAAAGTGCACCGTGCATAAAGTTATTGTCTCTCAAAAGAAAGAGTCGACTCTGAATCATTGAAACGAGTCGTTTTTAAAACAAATCCCAAGCCGTTTCATGTTGACGTCAACATGAAACATTAGCATATTGCCCACCCACTTGTTGGTCTTTTCGCTTTGGTCTGAATGAAAATGCACATTCATTCTTTGCCACTAGGTGTCGCTTTTGGAGCGTAAAAATAGCGGTTTCCCCGGTAACGCTGTACACAAAGCAGCACTGCGCTCACAAACGCTGCTTTATCAGAGATGCAATGAAATCGACCAATCGCCGCAGATTAGCGTCACGCAAAGGAGGGGTTTGGATAAATGAGTCGTTGAGCAAGAAAGGTTAAATAAATGCATATTATAAGACAATGAAAGTGTTTTTTGACCTTGCATGCATGTCAACCTGTTGTTGGGGACTCCCAAAACCAAAATATGAACCTTTCATAACCCATAATAGGGGCACTTTAAGAAACACTAATTTTCAGAAAATATCAGACCTGATTTTAATTGGTGGTTTACACGCACAAACAGACAGACTTTGGCTGTTGTGTTGCACTTCATGCCATGCTTGCTTAAGATGCTGTACCAATTTAAAAAGTTAGTTTTTGAGTCTCCTGCGGTCGGTTTCCTGCTGCATCAAGAATTATAAGCACCAGCGCATGAACAGCACAGTTTCTTGAATCGATCAGATGAATAAGAGATATCTAACATGAACTGTGGTCGTCTGTGCGTCACTGCTGCTTCCCTCTGCGTTTCAGTGATTGACGGAAAATCTATGTTCCTTAAAGACTAGAAACTGAGCAAAGGCTACAAAGACATGTGACACGAAACACTCTCAGTGGGGTATTACATTCGCTCTGCTTTTTCAGAGCAAAGCAAATAAACTTGAGGAAATGGAACAATTTGTGCTTAAACCCTCAGAGACCCACATTCATGAATATCCATTTCTCCTAAATAAACAAACACTGATTTCAATAACCAGGCGCTTCCCGAAAACACTCATGGGGGAAAGAAATCAAATGCATCATCAATATCAATGCTCGAGTCTCGAGGGTTAGCTTAGCAAACACAGATCTTAATACTCTAACTAGAAATGATCATCATCTTATGCTAATATGACTTGTAAAACAGCAGAGATTTGCCATTAGAGTTCACAGGACTTCAGTGGGTGGGATTTACACAGGAATAAACATCAAACCAGAGTGATCCGACACAAATCCCGACCGGATTAGAGTCGTAACGTTATACGGAGCCGTGCTAAAGCTCATCTATCAGGACAGTGATGTCCTGAACTCTTAAACGTACAGCGTGTGAATTGATGCTGCCTTCATAAAGATGACTTACTGATAGTTTTCACATGACCTCACACCCAACGCCCACCTGGAGGGCAAAACTAGGCTTTGCTCCACTGACCGCCAGTTTGCATTAATGTAGTAAAACGCTGACATTAAAAGATGAAATTCAGTACACACCTTACTGATCATAGCAGATGAACCTAGAATATAAATGCAATGCGCAAAGTTTCACATTAAATCGTTTCTCATAGAAAACCATTAAAAAGAAAACACTGAAATAGAGCTGCCAATTAATCATTAAAAGATGGCAATCTCGATTCAAACACCCACGCAATCTCATTTCTAAATGACAACGATTCACCCGTGTCTATTAAACCTTTAAAAAAGTAAAACCTTTAAAAAAGTCATACCGGAACATTCAAATCTGTGTTTGTGCTGCTGCTGACACAAAGAGCAATTATCATGTTTAGGTAAGAAACCGTTCACAAACAAGTCTTTTCAACCACATGGTTGCGATCAAAATAGAGCAAATTCCGGCATTTGAAAGTAATTGGTGCTTCAAATAATGTTTGTGTCGATTGCATTGTTTCTCCACTAGGTGGCGACAATGTTATTTATCACTGAATCATTGATTCAAGAGATTTGTTCAAACACGCAGAATAATCCCGTAATGAAACAAATTAAGTATTTAGGAGTAAATCATTGAATCATTCAAACCACTTTTTCATAATTTTAATATTAAAAATTGCTGTATTAAATATATTTTAAATACATACATTTTAACATTTAATAATTCAT